AGCCTCCTGTGCTAGAGGGGCCTAGTAGCAAATCCAAATGGATTCTATCATGAAATCCTACTGGAAAAAATCCGGATACGTATGCCGGATTTATACCGGATTTTGTCTACTTGATGTGCACTTGCTACTAGGGGCTGCTAAAAATTGGCATATGCTTCGAGTTGAGAGCTGGTTGCAATGGCATTGCGTAAGCAGGCAACGCGATCCCGAAAATTCTGTGCACCTTCGGACACTGGGGTTGGGGGAGTGGGGGTGTTCTAAACATTAAAATTTGGCCTCCGAACTTCTTTGGAAATGCTCTGCGTAGAAGACGCATGATGTGTGTACATTTTTCCACCCACTCACCCATTGTTGCCGACTGACGTCCCTATCTGGACAGCAGGAATGCAGACTAGTTCAACATTCTGATAGCGGTAAAGGTTCCTTATAAGAAACACCGTAGTTTACTATAACTAAAGTAAGCTTAGCTAAAACTAACTAAACTAAAACTAATAAGAAGAAATAATAACTTAATAAAGTAATAACTCAACTAAATAATACACTACAACGAAATAATAAACTACAATGAAATAAGTAGTTCGTTATGTATAGTAAACTACGGTGTTTCTTTATCTGATAGCCCTAAGAAGAAGACAATGCTTCTTCGACTGAGCACGGAAGTCGAGCTGATATTTTCCAAAGTGAATACTGTACTGCAACTTGAGCAGATTTAGCACGCTGAACTTTGCAGGGCAACTGACGTCCAAGCAAGGCGAGCGCGTTAAGCAGCTGAGTTTTGTTGAGAGAGAATCCACTGGTGAAAACCCGTAAAAGTGGAAGCAGGAGTGTAGAGAACCGGAACTTCAAATCACGTTTGAAGAACTCCTGAAAAATAAACCAACTGAACATTTAAGGCAACCTACCGCGGGCCTATTTTAACCACTTAGACGACCCTTGCGTCATGTAGGCAAGCGTCGCTTAGAGATTAAGCGGTGTTGTTACCAAACTGGCAGCATAAATAATGTCCGAAAGGAATTTTCCTTCAAACGAACCGGATATTTGTGGAAATGTGTACAAAATGCTTGACACCCAGTGAAAGATTGTGTCTTAAAACAGCATTTTAAGTTCAAGCATTAATTTTTGCGGAAATTAAGACACTTACCTATGCAACCTTTTCTAATATCTTGGTATCCTTATCATTTTTTTCATCTGACTTTCCGCAGAAACACCTACAAAACAGTCCAACTCCATTCCTGCCCATTACTGTGGTGACCGAAGACAAGGCGGAATCCTTCCTGAAAGGCATTTGGGATTAAAAAACACTTCATGTCTTCCCGTGCAACTCCATATTTGCTACTTTACCTAAACCTGATTGTTAGGTTGCTTTATTTCTTGTGGTTTCAATGAGTTTGCAATATATCTTTCTTACTTTCAAAGTACTGAGTTGTTTTGTTTTCCAATAGTTCATTTTTCGGAAGTGATTGCGTAGTATGCGTGCAATTATGGTCACTCTGCTGCGCGGAAAGGGGTGTGTGCATCTCAGTTACACACAACTTGCTACTTATGAAATTCATCAGGGCTGATAGAGAAGGCTGACTGCCCAAGTAGCATTTCCTAAGCAGTCTAGAATCCACCGGATGACTACCAGCCACAAGTACTTAAAAGGCGATGTTGACCGATTTTAGTAATTTAAGATTGCCAATAGAATTGAATATGCGAGTTCCAGGAAGAAGTTCAGAAGTTCCGGTGATTGCTTCCTCTTCTTCTTCTTCTTCTTCTTCTTCTTCTTCTTCTTTGAGATTCTTG